CGTTGTTTTCAGGATTTCCAGCGTTCCTTCCGTCTGTTGTTTTTTATTCAGAATGAAGTGAAATATTTTTTTTAGTTCTGACTGGTTCTCTGTGCCTGGTTCCTTGGGGGACAGAGCTGGTGCCTGCGGTGACCAGTGAGCCTCCCCGGACCCTGAGGTCCCAGAGCGGTGACCCCAAGCCCCTCCCCTCCCCTCCCCTCACGGAGACCCCGCCCCCACTCTGGCTGCCCCTCCCCGCCGGCCTGGGAAGGGCAGCAAGGGGCCCCCAGGGCTCGCAGTGCCCGTGCCTTGGGCCGGGCTGCGGGACGGCAGAGGGCTTCGCCCCTTGGCTGGCTCCGGGTGGGGGCTTCAGCTGTGGAGGGGCCTGGGCTGTGTCGCCAGTCCTGGGGTTCCCGTGGGGCTGTGCTCCTGGGGCCCGGGGCCCCCCTGCCGTCTGTGTCCGCCTGTGGCGGTCCCGGAGCCTCAGTTTCGGCTCCTTCCGCCATGGTCAGAGCCAGCATCTCCTTCCCCTTGGCTTCCACCATCATCCCCGCCCCAGCTCCAGGCCTGGCCTGAGGCCCCCCTGCCCTCCCAGGCGCCCTGACGGGGCACAGCAGCTGCTGTTTATCTGGTGCACGCAGGGGCCCGCCCTGCCCGGCGTCCCAGTGACCCTGGGGAGAAGGCCCATGTGGGTGCAGGACAGCAGAGGAACCAGCGGGCACTCGGCCTGCCCCAGAGGCTGCAGAGCCAGGCGGGAGGGGAAGCTGCCGCAGGAGGGACCAGGCCCGCCCGCACGCACTCGGCGCTGCCAGCGCCTGCCCGCAGCGCCCACCCCCCCAGTGTCCAGCTCTGAAGGACTTGTCTGCGCAGGAGCTCTGCCGGCCTCTGCGCCTGGCCTGGCGCCAGGACGTGATGGTGCACTTCATCGTGCCAGGTGCGGCCGGCTGGGCCGGGTGGGGGCAGGGGCTGCCCGCGGTGGACTCAGCTGCCCGCCCTGTTCCAGTGAAGAACCAGGCGCGCTGGGTCGCCCAGTTCCTGGCCGACATGGCCGCGCTGCACGCCCGCACGGGGGACTCGCGCTTCAGTGTCACCCTGGTGGACTTTGAGAGTGAGGACATGGACGTGCAGCGGGCCCTGCGCGCCGCGCGGCTGCCCCGGTAACTGCGCCCCGGGCCCCTGCGGGAGAGGGGCCTCCG